GTCACTCCTATCATTCAAAAGGACTTTTCTTTTGACTAAAATTAACATTTCAAATACATTTATTAATGTAACTCGGATTTTATGACTACATCAATTAAATTAAGTACTGCTGAATCCAACCTTGTATATGTGAAAATGAGGTAGGAATGGGAAGAAAGGTTTAGCAGGTCTCATTTTGTCTTAAACAAACATGTTTACAAAAGTAACATGTTTAACAGTTCACAAAGAACCTTACCTTGAAAACAATTTAATTAAAACATGTTCTTACAGATTTGTGTGTGTGTGCGTGTGTGATACAAGGGTTTGAACCCAGTCCCTCATGCTTGACAGGCAGGTGCCCTACCACTTGAACCACAAAGCCAACAAAACCTTTCAGAACAGCCAAAAAATCCACAGTAAAAATAAAAACCCAGCATTCCCCATGAACCACATACTTCATTACTGTGGAGACTGTTAAAGTCTCACACTACACAGTGCCCTCTCCTGGAAGACAGGAATTAATGGCTGTCTTTTCATGTCCTGTGAGGGAACTGACAGCCCCAGACAAGTCACCTGTCCAACAGCCTCACTTACTGCACCTCTAACAGAATAGCTTCTTCAAAACTCTGAGTTCTCACAAAATATTTTCCTGGGCTGGCCTGGAACCACTATTCTCCTGACCTCAGCCTCCCAAGTAGCTAGGATTACAGGCCCATGGCTAAAGAGTGCCGACAGGTGAATGCTCCCAGTTCCCCATTTCCTTCCGTTTCTAAGTTCTGGGGCTCCACAGCACAGGTACTCAGCAGTAGGTGGTGCTGCAGAGTCACCAGTCAGCAGCTGGACCTCATCACCTGTTACGGAAAGACGACACACTAAAGGTGCCGACATTACGTCTCAACACTGAAGTAATTTTAGATGTCACAGGACAACAAATTCTGATTTTTTAAGGTGGCACATAATAACTCCTCTACAGGGAGGAGCACACCAGAATGAGGCGTGACCCTCCAATATGCTTTACAACTCTGCTTCAAAGTTGTTCATGTATTTTAATTTCTTCTAGAAATAGGTGAAATGACTAGTTTTCTCTAATTATAGAAATGATCAATATTAAAATCTTATAAAAACTCCCTTTCTCCATATGTTGTTACAGAGCAGCCAACTGCTTCTTCAACTCCACAGTATGGGACGGAAGTACTCTAAGCAATACCGTGAGCGCTCTACAATGCTTGGTGACATGGTCTCAGGCCTCTCGAGGAACGCCTCCGTCCTCCTCCCACCATTCAAGCACAGCACTCCTACCTGCTTTCTTGTCTGCGGTAGTCCTGCTGCTGATCCACACGGATCATTGGCTTTACCATCCCTCGCTCAGCCGTGCTGGAGGCAGAGGACACCCTGTCGCTGTCCAGTCTAGTGGTACTCTGTGCCAGAGGAAGCATATGCGTTAGAACGCCACACAGACCATTCAAGCTTTATACCTGACACTACAGGCAGACACCTGATGCAGGGCTGCCATGCAGGGAAGGCAAGGGCACAGACCAGAGAGCAATGCAGAAATGCAAGGTCCACAGTGGTGGGCCCAAAAGCACATGGCACTGAAAGAATATGAAATATGCAGCCACTTTGACGTTCCAAGAGCTAGAAATTGGAGTTACCAGCAAAAGTGGTATACACACAATGATTTTTCAAATAGAATAAAGTTCTCTTAAAGTCAGGATAAGAGCTGACAGGAGGATAACTGTACAGTATGAACAGTTAGGGTCTTTTTATCAGTCTTCAGAATAGATTTAGAAGTTTTACTCATTATAGCTCAGTATCTAATGAATATGGTACAGAAATTCATTTACTGCATAAAGAAAAAACACGTATCTAGTTGCCCAATATAGTATTTTAAGTACTTCTAAACAATACATCCTCCCAACCATCTGTAAAGTCAATAAGGACGTGTCATTTACATTAAGAAAACCAAAGCATTTGAAAATTCTATGCGGTGAATCAAAGACCTCAATGCAAGATCTGCAACTGTGAAACTGCTCTGGGAAAGAACGGGAAACAATGGGACACAGAAACATAGGTAATAGCTTCCTGAACAGAACTCCAACAGATCAGCTATTAAGAGAACAGGATGACAAATGGGACTGCGTCAAACTAAACAGCTTCTGTACCACAAAGGAGACAGTCATTAGACTGCAGAGACAGCCCACAGAATGGGAAAAATCTTTGCCAGCTATACATCTGACAAGGGATTAATAACCTGAATATACAGGGAACTCAAAAAACTAACCCCGCTAAGAATCAACAACTCAATGAATAAAGGGGCAAATAAACCGAAAAGAGGGTTCTCAAAATGGCCAATCAATACATAAAGAAATGCTGAAGATCCCTGGCCATAATGGAAATGCAAATCAAATGACACTGAGATTTTACTTCCCTCTGGTCAAAATGGCGATTGTCAATGACACAAACACCACTAAACGCTGGCAAGGATGTTCAGAAAAAGGAACCCTTATCCATTGTGGGTGGGAATGTAAATTAGCACAACCAGTAACTAAAGCAGTATGGAGATTCCTCAAAAAACTAAAACTAGAACTCCCATTCAATCCAGCAATACTACTCCTAGGCATGTATCTGAAGAAATGTGAGCCAGGATATGACAGAGCCACTTACACATCCATGTTTATTTGCAGTGCTGTTCATAATAGCCAAGATTTGGACACAGCCCAGATGCCCCACACTGGTGAATGGATTAAGATAATATGGTATTTATATACAATGGAGTACATACATTCAGCCATGAAAAAATTATGTATAACGTGGTGAAATGATGTGATTTGCATGCAAATGGATGGAACTGGAGGTCATCATGTTAAGCAAAGTAAGCCAGGCTCAGGAAGACAAAGGTCGCATGTTCTCCCTCTCACGTGGAAGCTACACCTCAAAGACAAATGTATACATAAATGCGCATCACCTGACATACACACATGCATAGAAAGAGGAACATGACTGCGGTAGTGGGTCTGTCAGGAGACCAGGGGGAGGCAGAAGAGGAAAAGAATGAAGAGAAGGTTTAATACTGGACATGAACGATATCTAGGCATGAAGACATTACAAAGCAACACACTTAAAGCTATTGAATGACAGGGAGCAGAGACATGGAGGAGGAGCGGTAGAGGGTGAGGGGCCCCTTATTTCAAGGACAGCATACGGACATGTGAGTATCAAGGCAAAACCCCATTTAACAGTCAACATCCACTTTAAAAACTGAAGGACAGGAAAGTAAAACAGGTCCTGTCCAGGGGTGGGTATTAGTGGGAGGGGGTAAAGTAAATCAAGAAAACGAAGAAGGGTGAATATGGATGACATACTTTTTATTCATGTATGAAAACAGAACAATGAAACCTGTTGCAATTGCTCTAAAAAGGGAGGGTATGAGAGAGAAAAATGGAGGGGTAAATCTAATTAAGATACACTGTAAGCACACATGTAAATGTCACAACGAAAGCCCCCTGTACAACTAATATATGCTAATAAAAATGTTAAGAAACATTTATATGCAACAAAGTTCTTTGCAGCAAAAATTTCACGTAAGACATGTCTCCTGTAGGAACTGAGCCTACAGGAGAACTTAGAAAGAACTAAGTAAAACCCTTATCTTACCACCTAGAGACTAACACTTGAGCAAGCGGAACATAATTTTCAGTTTTTCCATAATGGAATTATACAATCCACTTTGTAAAAATAGTGTTTTTCAAGTCAGGTGGGATCATACATACCTGTAATCCTAGCACTCAGGACACTGAGGCAGCAGGAGGACAGCAAGTTTGAGGCCAGCCTGGGCTACATAGTGAGATGCTATCTCAGAAAACAAATTAACAAACTAAAATACTCTTCCACGTGTGGTAAACATCTTACACTACCTACTTTTACATTACAGAAGGGCAATGAACGCACACGTTGTCCATTCATGACAGCACATTAAGCCAAGGTTTACAACGTCCGTGAGTACAAAGCGCTGTGACAGTTCCGCTTGTAAATATATATATTCATACAAACCAAATGCTGCCAGAAGACACATTCCTAGAAATAGAGCTGCTTGGTCAATGGACAGCAGACTGCAAGTTAAACCTGTTAGAAATGGCTAGTAATAAAGCAAGGAGTACACAGAGTAAGGAATGTCTGTGTGCTTGTATGTTCCAAAATAGTTTGCTTTTAAATGACTTTGATCAACATAAGAAAAAGCTCTTAAAACAACAGCTGAAGGAAGCAGTGCAGAAAGGTGTATGGACAGAGTGAGATCTACCCAACTATGGCAAACTCTAGTAGAGAGCCTTCCCCACCATGCACAGGAAGGGTCCAGATGTCAAAAAGGTCAACTATAAACCATGTGCCAATCACTTCCATTTTACGTTTTTCCATCTGCCAAGCCTTCTACGTTGACTGTACATTTTTGTGAGAGGCAGTTCAACTTTGCTCTTGGAGTACTTATTCACTGTGCATGAAGATATTTGCCAAGACGCTATGTGTGGGTGCTTTCTGAGACAGCAGAGGCACAGCAAAAGGCTGTGAAGCACCATCCCTGTGTCTACAGTTCACATTCCAGTCAATCAGCAGGCAGGACAGGCTCCAGGTGGTGACACTGGCTACACCAAGACCTCACTTGGAGTGGGTGAGTGATTGGATGCTGCAGGAGAAGGGGGGGGGGCTTCTTCAGGAGAAACGGGACAGTCATGTGAAAACAAAGGGCAAGAGCAAGTACATCAGGGCAAGAGCACCTTCAGATGGGAGAGATGAGTGCATGCAATGACGCAAAGCTGTGAGCTGCTTGAGACATCCCCACACAAGGCTGGTCAGGCCAGAGGAACAGCTGGGGTGAGACTGCCATGTCTGGGTCGGGAGCCTATGAGGGGCTTTAAAAGCAAAGTACTAACAGAGCCATCCATGCTTAAGTGATGATGGGTGGGCACTGGTGGGAGAGCCCAAGGGAGTGCTGAGCAGGAGGCTGCACTTTACCCCTCCATGAAGACTACAGCTAAGCCAGCAAGAAGACACATGTGGATGCTTCAGAGGCAGAGAAATAGACTTAGGTCCTCATGTGAGGGTAAGAGAAGGAAAGGAAGGCAGAGCAACTTGGGACAGGTTTCTGTTGGGGCAATGCTGTGGCTGGTGATATCATTTCCTAAGACGGAGAAGGACCAAGGAAAGAGGCAAATTTGAGAAAGAAAACCTAGAGCAAGTGCCTGGGGATTTAAGTCTAGAAGGACCAGAGCCAAAGGCACAGAGCAGGGGATAATGAATGTCAGACGAGTCAAGCATATAAGGAAGAGGTACCAACAATCAGTCCGAGGAGGGCCAACCATGCAGCGGGAGAAGAATCAGAAGAGCACTCCACACTGCTGTGACAAGGACAGAGATATGCAACTCAGGAGACAGGCTCAATGCCTAAGAAGGGAGAGAGCCAATGAAAGGATATGGAGTTAAGAAGCAGAGACAGACACCTCACATGATTTTTTTCAAGAAACTGTACTATATGTAGGAGCAACAAAGTGGGGTCAGAGCTGGAGGATACAGTAAGGGTTCTGAAAACCAGGAAATCCCATAACAGGTTCTGATGCTGATGAGCCTGATCAAGAACATCACCGCATTGGGACCTACAACAAGCCACATTTTGTAAGGCCCTCTTCCCCTTAGATGTGGAGAGCCTGAGCTCTCAGCAATGGAAGGCAGGGGAACTAAAACTATGCCAGTCCTGGGCCTTACCCTTAAGAAGAACTGAGAGCTCATGGTTCTGGTGAGGAGCCACGTAACTCAGACTCTTGGGCTGAGGCCTTGAAGAGAGCCTGAAATGATACACAGGTAGAGAGCCTGGCCACCAACCCACCTGCTAGCTGAATGCAGCCACACAAATGGCCACCAGTAGGACCAGCAAGCCAAGTGCTCCAGTGAGCTCATGCTAGATCGCACTACTACTATCATGTAAGTGACTGTTGTTTTAGATCACCAAGTTTTGGAGTGGTTCCTTATCCAGGAATAGGTCACCAAAATGATGAGAGATATTACCTGATTACACAAGAACTACAGAGCAGGAACTACAGGGTGTCTGTGGAAGGGCAGTATCTGAGAGAGCAAGTGACAGGTGGAATCTAGTACTCAGCCAAGTGGCTGACAAAAGCAGGGCTGCGTTACCTTCCGGACAATCTGACCACAGAAGGCCTGATCATACACAGACATAGCAGGAAACACTCACTCCACATGGAAGAGAAAGCACCCTGGCTTCGTGCAACAGAAGCCACCTGCTACCTTACGCTCATGTGTCCCTAGCAAAGCAGCATACCCCACAGTGAAAGGCAGCTGTAAAGTGTCTTCACAAAGGGCCTCATGAGCATTTCACAGTGTATCCTTCCAGGGTGCCCCTAACGTCAAACACAGTCTGATCAGGTCATAGAAACACAGCCACCTACCCTGCTGGACGGCAGTGCTGTCCCACTGTGAATATCACCTCCCAAATCAAAGGTCGTCTCCTGAACAGTTCTGTTGGGATGAAAAAGAAACACATAGAATTAACTTTCAACTACAGGGGAGAGTGTCCTTTTGATATACAGCAGGAATAGTTGGCCAAATATCCAATGTTCAAAGATCATGAATAAATAGTTTAATTTTCAGCACATGGACTTAATAAAACAAAGAAACTATAATTTATGAGCTTTCCTTATTGGTATATAATGAACACTCTCAGGATGCACACACACATAATTGCACCATTTTTTTTTTTGGAAACACCAGGATTTGAACTCTTGCTAGGCAAGCACTCTACCACTTGAGATACATCCCCAGCCCTTTTTGCTTTAGTTATTTTTCAGGTGGGGTCTCACGCTTTTTTTTTTTTTTTTTTTGCCTAAAGCTGCAATACCCCTATCTTCTACCACTTCCTGTGCAGTTGAGATTCCAGCTGTGAGCCACAGCAACTGACGTTAAGGATCATAAAAATACTTTAATAATGAGAAACTGAATGAATGTTAAGAAACAAGCAGCGTATTTCTTTATATAAGACTATTCAGGCTGCAAATGGCATATAAACAAAGTCTAGAAAACCAAAACGCCCATGACCTACCTACGGATACACAAAGGCAGACATACACGATGAGGAACCACCCTTCTATTTGAGAGTCACCTGACATTTCTCTAAGTACACGGTCATAACTATTTAAGCTATAATAAAGAAAAGGGAAACTTTTAATACTAGTAATCAAATTAAGAGCTATCCTAGTTTAAAGAATTTTTTAGTTATCTCAAAACAGCAAAACTTCTAAGCACAACAATTTGAAAAATTAACTCAGGATACAAAGAAAATCTCATTTTGAAGAGTGGAAGTGCTGAAGCAAGCTACATTCTTTGGCAAAAATGAAAGGTAACTCTAACTCTCCTGTCCCAATCAAAGAGGTGAAAAAGCCTAAAACCACCTGAAAACCAACAAGGATAAAGCAAAGGTTAAATGCCTAGATTGCTATCCAAGGTAATCAAAAAGAACGAAACTTCCTTTGTTCTAATATTTGAAAAATACATGGTCTAATTTTACCCACCATGGTAGAAGTTCAAGCATTTTTTTCAAACTAGAAAAGGAGGTATAAATTTCTCTATCTCATCATTAAGAAGACAATATTTTGTAATGCAAAGTAATACTATGCTTGAATAGTAATGTTTGAAAGAAAATTAGTAATACAGCTTTTACTAAAGGCTAAATAATCAACTTGCTGCACTCAACTTTCTGCAATACATCACCAAGTTTTTTAAATTAAATACTTAACATGCATTAATTACCCAGATATTCACAAAAGCATGGGAAGTGCTCTGCTGGCTCCTATCAGCTTAAATGAGATTCAGTTCAGCTACGGGCTCTCTAAAAGTGGACATAAAGAATGGGACCGCTCACCTCCTTGGCCACCTATCATACCTACAGATACACGTCACCATCCCTAACTTCCTCTTAGGCACCACACGTGAAACCAACCAAAGCCTCCCTGATTCTTTTTATAATTAACACTGTGTAATAAGTTTACAATGCCACGCAAAGCTCAATATTTTCCCCCAAATTACTTCTTTTTTACGTTTTAACACACACCCATTTATACATTTTGGATATGTGAACAAGCCCAAAGTGACTTCATGCATGACTTTTATACTCTCAAACCTTGGCCCCAGCTGTAGGAGCCTATGTCTCTCATCTCAGCACTCAGAACACAGTGACGCAGGACGTGTGCTAGATGGATGTATTCTAGATGCACAGATGATGAGTTGCTGCAGCACCACAAGTCCCTACAATCCCCAAACTGACCATCAATCTCTCAAACTTTGCTACCTGCTGGTAAACCACCAGCAAGACTCAAGAAATCTCCCTTTAGGAGCACATGGTTTTTTACCTAGACACATTCAGTTTAAAGATGAAAGAGTTGGAAAGACATGGCTTTCGCAGGAAGTAGACAGGAGTATTTTGGGGGGAAGTAAAAGATTCAGCCATTTGCTGAAAGCTGCAGCTCAAGATGAGAAACCAGAAACAGATCCTACACAGCCCATGGACTTGTAAATATCCCTCTGACTGATGACTGATGAACATATCTGACAGTGACTCTGCACAGTGACGCCTGGCCCAAAGTGATGCTCTGCATGGGCGAAGAAATAACGGGAAAGGCAGAACAGAGAACCCACAACATGCAGCTTGACATTTGTGCTCTCTGGGCAGAAGTTCATGCCTCTGAGGATGTTTAAGGCTGTTTTAAACAGCCTAAGAGAAAAGCTCCTGTAGCTCTGTATTGATGGGCAGCACTCTTATCAACTTACAGAACAGATGATGAAATGGCTAAACAGACGACAACTTAAAAGATTGTCATTACCAAAAGGGGAGCCATACTCGGTACCAAAAAAGTTTCCTAGTAATAGGACACATCGCAAGACCTCAGAAAAGCACTAGGTGGCGCCAAAATACTCTGTATTCTGAAAGCAGCTCTGTGTGGTTTTGGTTGGGGCGGGAGGAATTTCAATAAAAAATTTAGAAGTCTTATTAGTTACATAGGATAATTACAAAGAATATCTTTTTTTTTTTCTTTTTGGGGGGGGGCAGTACTGGGGTTTGAAGTCATGGCTTCCTGCTTGTCAGGCAGGCGCTCTATCACTTGAGCCACACCCCCAGCCCTTTTTGCTTTAGGCATTTTTCTGATTAGGGTGTCACATTTCTGCCTCAGCTGGCCTAGACTAGGATCCTCCCAAATAGCTGGGATGACAGGAGCATTGCCACCACACCCCACTTTTCCTGTTGAGATGGTGTCTCATGAACTTTCTGTGTGGTTTGGCTACGAACCACACTCCTCCCAATCTCCATCCCCTAAGTAGTTAGGATTACGGGTACAAGCAACCGTGGCACAGCTGAAATTATCATGAGTTTTCACAAGATAAAGGTATGGTTTTGGTGTACCAGTTAAAACAAATTCTTCAATGTAAACAATTGAGAACCTGGTCAGAACTTCCAATTTCAAGATGAAGTCAGGACCTGTTTTTGTTCCAAAACCTATCCAAATTAACAAGAATAAAATACAAAGTCACAAACCTCGCTTCAATTTTTTAAAAACTAAAAATAAAAGGCTGAGTCACTGACAAGTACTTCAGATTGTTTTAAGTATAGTCAAAATGCTCTGAAATTCTTAGGCTGATGTATCACACTCACCCAGACTTGTGTCTTTGGCCCTTGACCATCAGGCCTCCGTCCACAGATCTTTTGGCGAGGGCATGGTCCTGGCTGGGGTCCACGAACTTAAACACGTGTGACGATCCGAACTGTACCTTCATGCCGCTCTGCAGCATGGTGGTCTCAGAGATGCGCTGGCCATCCACACACGTCTCCGCGTCCATACTTCTCGGAGTCACAGTGACCACTCCGTCCATGTTAGTGAGGTCACAGTGATGGGGCTGAATTCCCGGGCCAAACAACTGAAAACAGAAGACACCCCATTGTGAAGTGCACAGTATTTTAAAAACATAAGTTAAAAATTGCAGGTGATATGTGCTAAACATCATCTAATAAGCTCCAGATTTTTGGTACTTTCCTAAATGGATTTCCTAACAGTATAAAATACTGTCAAAATACACATTTTAGCAACCAGTAACTTGAATTAAGGCAAATTATAATTGTGTTAAAGGGTATATATGATTAGGACTGGGGTTGTAGCTCAGTGGTATGTTGCTTGCCTATAATGTGCGAGGCCCTAGTTCCAACCACAGCGCCACCAAAGAAAAAAAAAATCCCACAATCAACCAGTGTGATTATCTTAAACATTTCATTGACTGGATGGATAAATGACTACAATCAAAAATCCCCACTTATCTACTTTACTGCCATGCTAGAAAAATGAGTAAATGGTAGAATTGAAAACCCTACTGTTTTACAACTGATAAACAGGAAGAGCAAGGGTGATTTGGCTAAGTTCAAAGTGACAAGTCCTGACCTCACTGGCTCACAGACCTTAGGTTCCGTTTTAAGGATTTGAGAACAAAGTTCAGCTAATGCTGACTGGAGGTTGCTATGTGGTAGGACCCAGTGGTAGGAACTTCCGCATGCTCTCTTTCATCCTGTAAGCTGTTACCTCCACTCCTGGTGGAATGTCACCATCAGTCCACATTTCTGTAGTGGAGTCTGAACACAATGTTGGCACCCTGCTCTTTCCACACCAAGGCGCCTTCTAGCTCAGTGTGATCTGGCACTGTTGTTTGCTCCATGTGGCAGGCTCCCTATGTGTGCTTGTTACCCACTGATGGGTGGGAACTATGGCAGGGGACTTAGGCTACTGCATGGCCGCACACCTGGATGGAGTTGTCATCGAACTTTTCTGTCCCAACTTCAGTCACACTTAACTGAAGGCGGTAAAGTTTTGGCTTGTCTCTGGAGTCAGAACCATCTGTGAGAAGGGAAGAAGAGAACTCTGTTTGTAAAGTGGAATGTTCTTGTCAGGTTATTTGAAACAAAGTTAACTCAGGTACTACAGTTCTCACTTCTCAGGATTTCTTTCAAGGATGTCTCCAACTTCCATCAAACAATTTAACAAGGTGGACGGAGACACTTCAAAGAAGCGAGCACAGCAGCTTCTGTTTACTATACAGTGCTAGGACTCATTAATTCCAACATTTTCTTATTACAGAAGATGAAATTTTCCTACTACACTGCCCTGAATTTTTTTTAGTGACTGAGAAGCAGTCAGACTGGTAACACAAATGTAGACAAAGACGTGGGCCTTTACCCAGCCCAGAGCCTTCACAGGGCGAGCATGCTACACAACCTCCCCACCCCCATGCAAGTTTTTGAGTGTACAGTTCTCACAATTTGCCCACTCCTCCTGGACCACAGTCCTAAGGGTGAGATCAGCTATGTGTCTTCTGAACCACCACCCCATGTGACTCCGATGTCCATCGCTGATGAACAATGCTAAAAAAGTAGTTGATCCCTCCAGAAGAACCGGGGTGAAGGGCAGAAAGGAAGACTAGGAAGACTGGGTTTTTGTCATTTTATACCTTTCTAAGCTGAGCATGACTTTCTATGACAGGCAAGGGGTGGGAGGAGGAGGAGAAGATGCAGCACTGCTGGCCACGGGCCTCACTCACATTGGACAAGCCCACTCACTTCTCATCAACTGTATCATGGCTTGTGCAAAAGAGTGTCCACTAAAGATTCCTGATTTCAGAGTTTATAAAAGAGAAAGCGTGCCTCACAGAACCCAAGAATTATGATACAATTGCAGACTTGCACATCTGTACCACAACCACAATATTCAGTCTAGTGTTGCAAATACACATAGCAAGAAAGGTTTCCTTAAAAGGCAAGTGAGATCTCCCTGACCTACTCCACAACCGCCTAAGTAACTTTCAGAGTCACTTATTAAAATGTCAAGTCTCTGCAATCAGGAATGTAAGCTATGAGAGCTTCAGAAGTTAAACATTTTGGAGGGCATGGGCATTACACAGTTTTAGACTGCAATTCTCTGAGCTGTGGTGTGGTCTACACTCTTATAGACAGAAGACACTATGAATATGCAAATTCTGTTATAAGTGATGTTGGTTTTGGAGTATACAAAAAGTTACATTCTAATGATAAAATTTCCTATTTCAGAATAGGAATATTGAGTGTATCCTGGGTATGGTAAGATGAGACAAGAGTGTTTCAGAGAGACCAATGCCTACTAGGCACTAAAAGTTGATTCACTGTCTATACAGTTCCCATTCACATTGGAGTATTTATTTTCATCTCTAAGTGTTCTTACAAATTCCTGATTCAAATGAGACATCAAAACCCACCTGAGAAGCCAAGTGTGGTGGCACATGCGTATAATCCTTTGGGAGGCTGAAGAAGGAGGATCTTGGGTTCAAGGCCAGCCTAACCCACAGAGTGAGACTCTTTCTCAAAAAAACCAAAACAAAACCATCTGAGGCTATTCCCAGACATGGGCAGACCCATGTCTAGGGTCTGGAATGTTCATGATTATGTCTGTTTCAACCACCATGGGCAGGTAAAAGAACATTCCACTCTTCTGTCCTCCAGAGTACCATAAAGCGTATTTTATGGAGATTGCCACTGGCAAGCTACTTGGTGGCTACAAGTGCTCTGCACTTGGAGCATGGTCCACGACAGGTACTCAATAAAGACTTATTTGCCCACTAATAACAAATGATTAAACCCAAAATGAAGAAAACTGAATAATGCAAAATAAGCCATCATAAACTACCCAAAGAAATTATAAAGTAAGCAAAAGGAGCAAATAAGCAGCCATGTGAGTGAGACAAGAACAGCTGTTTTGATGCAAAGTGAAAAACAAAACATGAAAGACAAGTCTGCTTAGGGGTGGGAGTAAAATTCACATTAATATTTTCCTGAAACCCGAGTGCTGAAGGTCTTCTGTGAGCTACTAAAGAGATGTTACACAGAGGAGGAGAACGAAGCTGCTCTCTCCGTCTCTCCTTTCTTACCACTTGCTATGATGGAAAAACCAGAGATAAAGCCTATGTAGCCTGCAGAAAACCCAAGGGTGGGCCACAGGATCGGCAGTGACCCAACGTCTGGTCCCATAGTGGAGGGGTGACAGGGTTGTTACCTTCAGTCCATCACTGTGGCAGCCAAGTTCCAGCTCCTGACTAGAAGCAACTCACTGCCTCACAGGCAGGAGCCTTAAAAGTTTACTCTCTATACTCACTCCATATGTCCTCCCAACCCAACAAGCACTCTAGAGTCACCTTCTGCCCACAGCACCTGAGCGCCTGTCTTCAGTAGAGAATCGGGACAGCCTGGGGTGTGTTCACCCGAAGAGACCGCTCTCAACAGCCTCCTGGCAGACATAGCTCTTCTACCTGAGCACTGCCTTGACTCCAGCAAGCCCAAACTGAAACGCTTGGGCCCACAAGTGTTTTCAGAGTCCAGCTTTCTGTGGATGTGGGTATGTTTGTATATACACATAAGACCCAAGACTGAACACACACTTCATTAGTGCCTCACATACTCCTCACTCACACTGCCTGCGGAGAGCGCCACATAACACATCCAGTGAGCCCGAGTCTGACTGTGACCCATAACATGGCATCAGGTGTGGGATTTTCCACTTCTGAGGTCATGCCAGCACTAACTACAAGTGTCCCATCTTCAGATGAGGGACAAGCCCTATGTCTGAAGGGGACAGAGACCATTATGAAAAGCCCTCATATCCTCAGTCTAAGACAATTCTGTAGCCAGTCCTCTACATGCAGCTGCCTTCCGGGCAAACCTGGGAAGACAAGAGAAACCACACCAGCTTCCAGTAAGCAGTGCTTTAAATTCTTACACATACAGTACCTGGTCAGTCAATGCTACTGTGCCCATGAGGTTCCATTAGTGCCCCAGTTACAAAAGTAGTATTAAGCATAGCATTACCTTCATAAGTATGATAGCTGTAGTAGGCAAAGTGATTCCTTCTCCCTGGGGTTAAGACACATGCCAGGACCCAGGTGAAGGCAGCATCAGCAGGACAGAGATCATGCAGAACACATGGGAGAGGGAAGGAGGAGAAGAGATGCAGAGGGTGAGCTTCAGTGAGACACGTTTCAAAGGGAGAAAAGGTACATTTTACCCGTCAGCTTTCAGAGCTGTACAGACAAGACTACAGCAGTGCCCCAGTCAGTGTTTTAGAAACCAGTGTAGACCGTTAAGGAAAACAGCAGGAACAATAGTGAGTCACCAAGCAGCAGGACAGCAACCATGAGTTAGCCATACAGAAAGTCACCACCCCACCTGGCTGACATCTTCTGTGTAAAGGACAAACCAGCACCCTGGTTCCCATTCCTTCAGAAGACAGTGCAAGCCCTCCATATCTTAAAAGCCTCTTCCCCACACTTAGGATCTCTACACTGAGGAGGCTGCCTGGATGACAATGTGCCCAGTGGAAATACAGTCCTACCATCTCATTCAGCATGCTGACTATGAGGAATTACAAATAATGAAGAGCTAACAACACATCAAGATCAAGTAAACAGAGCATGGTTTGGGGGCAAGAAAGACTTTGGCCTAGCACTCAGGACTGCCACCAACCCCTACCCCTCACTTAAGACAGAAGTAAGAGATCTGGCACATCAGGCACCCATGGAACATTGAGGACAACTCTCCCCAGGCAGCCCAGACCTTAAGAGGGAGTGTGGACTAGAGACAGTCACTGTCACCAAGCTGTGACGATCTCTTAGTGTGTGCAGTACCTGGAAGCAAGGGCAGTCTTATTCACCTCTGCATCCACTGCTCTGCCTACAGGAGCTCAATAAATGTTGACTAAAGGTAGCAAAGTGCCAATAGTGAGCATATAATAGATGCTGCTGCCAGTATTTGACGAGAAGAAATACAGAGCTACTATTATCTATGGACTGTCACTGCCCCACACCTACAAAACATTTCTGTGTATGTGATTACCAGAGAGGTGACAAGTATAAAATAAGCAGCCAAGATGGAAATCACTAAAGTCTGAGATCGGAAGGTTAATGCATTTTTCTCAGCGCTCCACCTCTAAGGTCCAGAATGGTGTCTGACACACAGTAAGTATTTAAGAAATATCTGTCAAATAAACGAATGTGTGAATGCTCAGCCTGTCTCTGCTATCTACAAAAATCAACTTCTTGTTATTCATTTGAAATTTACTCTGTCAGTTGCTATTCATTAATTTCTCTGTGGGCTAATACTCTTCAATCTTCAAAAATCTGTATATGTAAGAAAACAATTTTAAGTTTTCAGTGCTCAATGAAAAAATTTAAAGGATAGACCCAATGTTCAAAAAAGATCCATAGAACACTGAAGTTCAAAAACCAACGGCTATCTCACTGTTGCTGCTCCTTCTCTCAGATAAACCAACACCAATGCTCTTCACACTACCAGACACAATGGGACTGGGGCATGTCCCCAAACTACAGGGGGACAACAATGTAGCCCTGCTGTCTCCTAAGACTACTGGACCACCAACACCGGATCTAACCCTCAGTTAATTATAATAATCAGCTGTGAGAAACGAAACCAACCTTGGAGATAAAAATAAACACTGAAAATTAAAGAAGAGAAAAACAACTGCAGCCCAAGGAAACAAGTATTATTTACAACTGGTTCGTTTTTATGTTAATTTTTTTCTTTAATTACTAATTGGGCTTTACTTAAATGCAGTTTGGGGTGAAGAAGGTGGAATACTTTCTTCACGATATTTAGTAATACAGGTCACATAATACCATTTTAACTGAGCAATGATGTAATTTTGGCTAAATGACAAATATGCCATACACAACACATTTGTAAGAATACCACTGTGTCTCTCTACCTGATGACTAACTTACGATACCACCTTTAGCCTGTAAGAGTTCTATGAGTAATACATGTACAAGGCTAATGTAAAAATAGTTTGTTATTTAAAAATCAAAGATCCTTCCATTAACTATGTTACATTTCTTAGACGTACTCTTAAATTTAAGGATACTCCTTGTAGACATTATTCACACATTATATACAAGAGAATGTTCCTTTCTCCCTCCCACCAACCCTATACATACACACAATTTTCTCTTCCCTGGGAAGAGAAAATTTCAGTTTGCTGTTTTCAGTAGATTAACTATTTCACTAAAGTAATTTTGGAAAATTCTGCTTAAAAGGAAATTGAGCATTTAAAACTCTATAGTCATTTTAAATCTTGTGTAATACTCATTTTTGTCCATGTGAACTTTGCTTTTATGCATGAATACATGTATGTAACCCTTAACTTTGTTTAAATGTCTTCTATCTTATGAAGATTACCTATTTTTAAATAAATGGACACTTAAAGATGCATTAAAAAGTAGAAACATTTAAATCTAAACACATCCATTTACAGTGCTTCCTGGTGTGTGCAGTTTTCTCACCTGGGCTTAACTCCACCAAGTAGGGCAGCTTCTCTGGAGGAAGGGCAGAGCCATAGCCAGCCCCGTCAGCCTTCTCCTTCCCCTTCAGCAGCTTCCCTTCCACGGCTTTCTTGCTTTTCTTTGGAATGTAGTCTGGTGGCCTCCTCTTCAATTGAAAGACTAAAACCCCTAAAATGGTAACAGCGGTGATCATCAACCACAGGCTGGTGTGGATGGTCAAATGACATGACAGACAACTGCCCAAACATTTCTAAGAAGACACAGTTTCATGACATCTGTTCAAGAATGACTGCGCAAAGGCTCGCCCAATTTCTACTTTTACTCAGTGAAGGAAGTACTCATCTCTTGATGTGCTCTGTAAAACTCCAGCAAACAATTTGCAAAGATTATTTTTAATTAACAGCCAGCTACCCAAGGACATCAAATGTGTCAAAGCAACACATCAGTTTAAGAATAAATGAATGCTTATATTGGCAGATGACCTTATGATTAATGAACATATGCACATACATACATCACACTCCCACACAAATACATATACCAATATATCTTAGTTGATCTGATTTTTATTTAATTCAACTGAATTAACTCAGAATTTAAACCAATTTTTCAATAAAGTTGGCCTTTAGACTGTGTAGAAAAAAGTGCTAATACAAGTATCTTCACGAAGGTACAAATTTGCTTACTCGGGGCTTTTTTGGTATTTTAAAAACTCAATCTGTCTTTTACATTTTTTTCCGACAGTGCTGGGGTTTGAACTCAGAGCCTTCCACCTGAGACACACTTCCAGCTCTACCTTCAATACTAACAGATCTGGCCATTAGTTCTATGTCTTCATTAGTGCAAAGGCACTCTACTAAACCCCAGCTAGCTTACGCTGTGAATCTCAGTTAGAAAACTGTACTTCATCAAAGCACAGTGCCAAGTAGGAATGTATCACAAGATGCGCATTCCAATCTAAAATCTGAAACCCAAAGCAAAATGTTATGAATCCCAAGACTTTTCAGTACCAACATGACACAAACAGAAAACTGACCTTGTGTTATAGGCGCAGGCAAGACGCCTGCAGACTATGTGAGGACGATGTGCATTAACTATAAACAAATTCTGTATTTGGATTTGGATGTCTTCTCTAAGATATCTCACTATGTATGTATAGATACTCCAAAATCTGAAAAAATCCAAAATCTCAAATACTTCTGGTCCTAAGCACTTTGACTAAGAACAGCCAGCCTGAGCTACAGTGAGTACATTACTGGAAAATCTTTAGGGCTGTAGGTTACTTTCCCTATCATAACACATTTGTCCAAATACCAGAGTTCCTTCCTCTGGTCAGTCTGGAAAGTGTTTCATTGCTGATAGATAACAATGTTCTTCCACTGCTAACAGTCTGCTTCTTCCTGAAAATGGTGACACCTGCAGTGTTGCGTTTGTCTGTACAGCAGACTCACAGGAGATGAGCATGGCCGGTAGGCAAGGGCTCAGAGGAGGAACCATCCAGCAAGTGAATGAAGGAAGGTGGAAACTGCAGCAAAAGCCCATCAAAAACATGCTTGTGCACATTTCCACATCACCTGAGAAACAACAGGCACATCATGAAGAAATGGATCTGGTTAAGTCCACTCCTTACCTTTGTCACTTGGCCATTCCCTGAAGATCTGTAAAGGACACTCATCATCATCAAGAATAACTTCTTTAGCACCTCTTTCGTCAGAGTGCTGGGCTCCAGGGGGAAGCATGACCTAACAGAAACATAATTAGTAGCGAATATATCTATAAAGTAAACTAACAAGAGTGAAGAAAGCACTATTTGTTTTTGAGACAGGGTCTTACTGGGCAGCCAAGGCTGGCCTCACATTCAGGGTCTTCTGTCTCACCTCCATAGTGCTGAGATCACAGGCATGTGCCACAGTACCTGGCTTTTAAGTTTTACTTTAAAATGAATTAAAAAGTAACTACAGGGCTGGGCACAGTGGCTCATGCCTGTTATCCCAGCTACAAGAAGGCACAGATAGAAGACCATGGTACACGCCAGCCCAGGCACACGACTAGAGGCCCTGTCACTCACACACGAGACTAACGGGGAAGGGTTGAAGCTTGAATGGTCGGACACCTGCTTAGCAAGCATAAAGCCCAAGTTATTTGTGATACCTGAGTATCACAAATTTTTTAAAAAGCTACTGTGAAATTAAACTGATCAAGCACTATAAACATTTTCACTAATCACAAAAAAAAAAAAAAACAACAACAACAAAAGTGAAGGACATGGTTTCAAACAAAAACTTAGCCAGCTGGTCTGGCCCCTAGTCTATGTATTCTTGAGTAATTTCTTAGGGAAGAGTTAAAATACTGTGAATTTCACCATCTTTAGCCCCAAGTCCATCTTTTCACATTCAAACAAACGTTTACAGAGAAGCTTCATAAAACACGAGAGCTTAGTAAACCTATCACTTCACGGAAACCAGAAGCTTTTCTCTCCTTGTAGATGATCTGTCTTTGGACTGAATTTTAAGTAGACCATTTAGAGATATCACACAACCATTCATTCAACAAATGCTTTTAAGCAAATGTTTGATGACAGTGTGTTCACTGTACTCTTAATAATGCTACGTGACTGTTCATTATATATTTTTATGCTAGCTAAGTGATTTTCTTATTCATCCAAGAAAGCCTGTGTTGGAAAGGAACGTGGTGAACAACTCATACATTGCAATGGCCTTACACATGCACTGCAGCTTGCATCTCCTCTTGGTTCAGTGCTAGCATGAACCGGTGCCAGTTACACAAAACATGAGAAACATCATTGTTTCCAACCCGTGACAGCCTGAGTGCTATCTTCATAAACCTTACTACCCAAACATGTAGTCATGCTCACAGACCAAAAGGATTAGACTCTTTTACAAAACCTAGTCTTCTTGGTAATGCTTCAAATTCCCTTAAAAAGGCACATCGTTATAACACACCTTAGGCTAACTTCACCTTTCTCCATTAGCATTTTGCATTGAACTCAATATTCTGGCTTACAGCACTACTGCTTCAGGACGTGATCTTCACTCTCATCTTTCACCTTAACCTTTGTCATGCATCTTTAGCACCAAACCACAGGGAAGTACGCAGAGTTCACAAACCAACATATTTCATGCTTTCCTGGCCTCCCTCCAGCTTGGAAGCCCGTCGTTGTGTTCTGCTTCCTGGCCTGTCTCCCTTCATTATAAGCTCTTTTAGAGGAAGCTTTTATTTTTTGTACCCCCGCCCGATATCTAACAAACAGGAAGATCTTAAATTGAATAATTATGAATAATTGAATAACAAAATGATCAGCAAATGAGGAATATGATATAGCTATAATTTATGAGACGGCAAGCTGAGAAAAATAAAAGAATTTCTAGTTCAGGGTAAAATAATAATCATCTCTTCATTTCTACCTTACAGCATGTAAAAGAAAGAGGTCAGAAAACCAAAACTAGAAGAGACCCTTATCTGCAACCCTAAACTAACTGGAGACCCAACATCAGTTGGGCCTGGTCGATCACACCTGCAACCCCTAACTACTTGGAAGGTGGAGACCAGCTGGGGCAAGTTAGCAAGACCCTATCTCAAAACCAAAATTAAAACAAAGGGATGGCAGCATAGCTCAAGCAGAAGAGTGCCAGCCTAGCAAGTGTGAGGCCCTGGGTTCAATCTCCAGTATCACAAGAAAGAAAAAGAAAATGACATCATCAAGTTACCACAAAAGGAATGTCAATAAAGTCTAAAAGTAGGCTTTTACAACCCTGTATCCCTGATCAGGGTATTCCTTTACTCTGAGTTTCATCTGTGAAAATGAGTCATAAACTACTGAGAAGTTAAAAATGTTGGAAAGTTCATTATCATGTACCACCTCATATGCAATTTTATAGAACTTATCATCACTCAGATTTATACAAAAACATTCCCTTGGCAATCACTTGAGCAATTCCAGGTTTCAGGCATGACACTAGCCATTCTTAAACAACACACCCTCCGTGTTCATAGCTCAGTAAGGTACACAGCTCGAAGAGGATCCAGCCCCTGTTCAGCCATGAAGACCCTGTCTACACAACTATTCTCTGATACTACTGACTTAGAAAAATCTTACAGCATTTCCTAGCCACTTTGAAGAATAAGGAATATGTCATGCCGTCCACCATGTCCATGGATTTAACGATCTCATAGATAATTAGGTTTCTCAGCATACAAGCCTATTTGCCTGCTCATACTTCTCCTAACAATCATGTATTAAAACCCAGTGTATTTACCTGTCAGGAAGAAAGTGCACCAGGTGGTCCTCTATCACAACTATTTTCCCTTCAAAGAGAAAACACATTCTGCTACCTGTTGCTGCCAAATCCAAAGATCCTCAGTTAACACCTGCTCTGATTAGTTTTTCTCTAGCTGGTCAATGATAACATAGTTAGAATGGAAAGGGGGTTCAACTGCCTCATAAAAACTTACCACACAATTTTTCTTTTCATTCCAACTTCCCATAATGCCTTAGCAAGTACAAAGCCTCTAACTCTAGGGTCTCCTGAGGCAGTGTCACAAGTATGTATCTGCTTCATCCTGATGTCCTCATTGCAGGCTTTCTCTGGTCTAGTCAGTCAGGTCATTCATCACACCTCCGTTATACCACTGAGAACTCTCTCTCATCATGTCTTTCATTTTCTTTGTTCTTGTTAATTTAAACACTTTTTAATCTTTGATCATTTTAACATGAGGAAAACACGTTTCCTGTCTTTTTCAGCTAAAAACTGAGCTGTAATAATATCACAATCTACTAGTTTTTCCAACTGAATATAACTTCATTGCTTTTAGCAAGAATATCAAAGCCAAAAAGCTCAAGCAAGCTTTCGCAGTTAATTCCACCTCTAGCTAACAGAGGAAGTACAAGGACCTCTACATGAATAGCAAAGAATACTGCTGAGAGAAGTCAAGAACTACAGAACTGAAGGGCTGCTCTCTGCCAACAGGTGGGTAGTCTCCAAGTTCACTCACAGATGCACCACAAACCCAATCACAGCCCTAAGAAGGTTTTGTGTAGAAACTGACAAGGTGATTTTAAAATTTATGCAGAATCACAAATAATCTAGAAGAAAACGTTAAAAAAAAACAAAACAGCAAAATTGGTACTCACCTGATTTTATGACTTATTATAAATCTACAGTAACTAAGACAACTTAAAGGCAAGAAGACATTACAAGAGACCAATGGAAGAGAACACAGTCCAGAAGTCGGGCCACACATAAGGCAAATGACTTTGGACAAAGGTGCCAGAGCATTCAATGGAGAAAAGAATCTTTTCAACAAGTGGTCAAGGATCAACTGGGTATTTATGCAGAATAAAATGAACACCAATCCTTATCTCACTCCAAGCACAAACATTAACTTGAAATGAGTCTACTAACCTAAATGTAAAAGCTAAACCTAAAAGTTAAAATAGGAGAAAAACAGGGAGTAGACATAAAGGAAAACGTGCAATTTTGGAGGAGGCGAATTCTCAAATACAAAAGGCAAAGACTACAACAGAGGAAGTTTAAGAACTTTTACTTTTGAAAGACATCACTGAAAAAATGAAAAGGCAATCCAGCCTGGGAACAAGTTCACAACATATTACTGCACACAGGACTCCAGAATGAAAATGTAAATCATAATGAAACACTGCTAGACACTTATTAGAATGGCCAATGTTTTTTGTTTTGTTTTTTAAAATCAATATATGGGTGAGAAAGAGGAGTAACTGGAACTCTCATGTACCTCTAGTAGGGGTGCACCATGGTATCCACTTTGGAAATCCGTTTTCCAGTTTCGTAAGAAGTCAGACACACCCCCAGCATGTTAGTCTATCTTTACAGTCCTGGGTAACTACCCAAGAAAACTTATGTCTATAGGAAGATTTGTACACACACATACTCACAGCACTTTTAGCTACAGAATCAAAACCTAAGAAGTGGAAACAGCCTAAAATCTACCAACAAGTACGCGTGATTCACAACTGTGATGTTTCCACACTGAAATACTATCAGGAACTCTTGATAAAGACAACCACCTACATGAGTCTCAAAGACATCATGCTGAGTAAAGTAACCAAGAAAAAATGAGTACTTACTGTATGGTGCTATTCATGTAAAAATCTAGAAAATGCAACTAAGCCAAAGTGGCAGAGAGAGTGGGGGATGGATCACAAAGAGGCATGAGAAAACTCTGAGGGTGGAGGAAGCAAGCATAATGTTGAGATGTCAATGCTCCTGTAGTTTACTGTACTTTATTCATCAGTAATTTTGTGGGGCAAATTTAAAACGAATAGTCATCCTATCTTATTATTAAACAATCACTTGCTAAGATAAGAGACAGGATAACTTTATTTATAATCTACTGTCAGTTGTAATTCTGACAGACATATTGCAATAAATAAGTTATAATATAATCATGACTAATTTATAAGCTGAGAATTTTCCAAATGGGTTATTACTCAATAGAAAACTTGCTGACTCTACTTGATGTTATCAAATCTATTTTGAGACATAAAATGTCACTATCTCTTGAGTAAGAAATATGGGTGATTATTAAGGCAGATTTTAGTATGAATAAAACTAAGTTACCTATGTCTGGTGGTTAACTGATTGTCACTGCATTACAAGATACCTTGGACATTAGTAAGGACATCTCTAGGTGTGTCTATGAAGGTGTTTCTAGAGTCGACTGCCACAGTAACTGAGTGGGAAAGAGGAGCCCTGAATATGGATGGCACTGTCTAATAGGCTGGAGGCCTATATAGAAGGGGAAACCAGTTGGAGTATGCAAACTCCATTCTTCCTGAGCAACTATGCTTACTACTGATGCCATCCTAGCCATCAAGACTCCACCTTCTTCAGCCTTTCAATGTGGACTCACACAGGGACTCAGGAAGTACCAAGGCCTTCAGCCATGGACTCAGGCTGCATCACTGACACTAACGCCACCCCTCCCCGCTTGTTCTGAGACTTCCAGCTTCTTGGACTGAGCAGTCATTGGATTGTCTGGCATTCCAGCATGCATACAACCTCTGATCATGGAAGCCAAATTAATAAATCCCTTTTTATAATTATATACACGCCATTGGTTCTGTTTCTTGAACCCTGACTAATCATACTATGTGTGCAAAATAAGAATCAGAAGGACATCTATCAAAACACTAATGGTCTGGTTACACTTTGGTAGAACTTTGGGTTGTCTACCTTCTTCAATTTGCTTACTAATGCATTTTAATTTTATAATAGGGACATACATTATTATTTTGTAATGGAAGAGATTACTGGTTTTACACATGTATTTAACACATGGCTTCAATTCATCAGATTCTCAATGTTAAGCATGGGGAGAAAATCAGCCAAGGTTTAAATGATTTAAAAATCGTCTTTCCTTTCAAATGCAAAATCCTAGCATGAGTGACTGATGAAAACTCCTGACTTGAAAGCTACGTACCCGGGCAATGCAGAAGTCCTTGGGATTTTCTTTTTCCAGACCATATTTCTCTAAAGCTTCAGCCACAGCAAAGTCTGCGGGATCTGTAGTAGACAGCAGGATTGTCTTGTAGGGAATATTTGGCTTTAAACTGTCTGCATAAATTCTCAAAGTCCCACCTGAAAAAACATTTTCACATCTTTGAGCACAACTTTATTTTAAGCCAATGACAGAGACAGCAAACATTTACAATGACTAAGAGAAGGGTACTTTGAGTGCCAGCTGTATCACCACTCCATCTCATTTCTTGTGAGATGACATATATTTGAAACCTAGTGACAACCTGTTACAGGGAGCAATCCTGTGTTACAGACTGGGTCTGTCCTCTCTTCATGCAAAGAAGTTGTTACAGTGATGGGATGACTTCCACCAGAAAGGGGAAAGAGGGCTCAGAGCGTCTTTGTGGTGCAGAACTCTTCTACTGCACCCACTTCCACACCTGTACAGCACACTTCTGGCTCCCAAACTTCATGTGAAGCAAATCGAAACCCAGATAAACTTCAGTATCAGTCCCACTAACAAACCCATTTTTTATAAGTAAACTAGGAACCAGGAGACCTCAGATGCTTAATTATAAAGATTTTTTTTTTTTGATGGAGGGGTGAAGTTAACTAAGATATACCGGAAGTACTTGTAAATACCATAATGTACCCCAATACAACAATATGATAATAAAAAAATTTAATGATTTCTTATGAGGGATTTGGGGCTGTGCTTTTACTTCTACATACTACAAAGTAGAATGTCATGTATCGCTGCAGACACATTTTGAGGAGGAAACATTTCTGAGGTTTTCTCTATTGTCTGTATGCTTCTTTTTAGTAGCAATCTACACATGCCACATTACTTCACTTTGGGTGTCATAATCTGCTTTCTACTTATGGTCCAAGATCAAGCAGCCCTACAACCTAACTGTACATGGGAGAGCACTGAGGGAGGAAGTTAGAGCACTGCATCCCCCACTCCAGCACAAGCTGAGGCAACACTCCGACTTCCAAAGCTCTCATTTTTCTCGACTGTGAACTGTATCAAAAGATTTGTGCTCTCTTGAAGAAAGTACTGAATTTCCACAGCTCCCTGGTTCTTTTCATTCCAACAGTTATTCTGGCTACTGGGTATTTACCATATTCTCTTTTTTTAATAAGTGCCACAAATGCAATTGGTAGCTGAGTTCACAGTAAAATCATCCTGGTCTCTTAAGAAATCCACTAGCCAAGCCTAGTGGGAGGATGTGGACCTGCTGGCCAGGCCAGTGAGCGAGGCTTCCGACACATCTCTACCATGGCTAAACTCACACTGAACAACTAACTTTACAATGGCTCAGGTTCTGATTGGGAGGCAGATGCAGGGGGGACTAACAAGGAAACAACATAAGATAATGATTCATGCTGTGAAAACCGCTAGGGATGACAGAGAGAAAGAAAATGATGCAACTCAGGTGTCTGACCAAGACCTCAGAAGAATCAACACTGCAGCTAAGACCTGAATGACCAAACTGGACAGCATTCTGAGTGGGGACCACCAGGTCTAAGACCACTGACTCATCCACTGGTCAGTGTGGCCAGTGAGAAGAAAAGAAGGAAATACAGTCAGAGACCAGCTGAGGCCAGATCACACAGGACTTCCTGGACCATGGCCACTGACTTGGGAGCCACTGGAAAGCCTTAAGCTCCATGTGAATTAGAGACAGACATGGAGAGTGTGTGCAAATATGTGTGCACCTCCTGTCTGTGAGCATGTGTGGAAGGAGGGCTAAATGCATCACTTTACAAAGAGGAACTCAGCGTTGGCTGCATGAGGGGCTACATCAAGAGTGAGGCTGCTGTAAAACAGGCTACTCACCACATCAAGCACACACCCTCCCCACACCGCACTGCTTCCAGAGTCAGAGTTGAAGTCATTCACAAGAAAGACACGTGAACAACAGGGTAAGCTGCACACAGGTACATGTACACATGGAAGTCTGCACACAGGTACATGTACACATGGAAGTCTGCACACAGGTACTGCACACAGGTACTGCACACAGGCACTGCACACAGGCACTGCACACAGGTACATGTACACATGGAAGTCTGCACCAGGGCAACATCTGCATGCTTCCCACTGGACAATCAAGAAGCAGAAGCCTGAGCAAATGTCTGCACAAAAACACAAACTGCCAGACAGCTCATTTTATTTAAAAACTGTCCATCTGCTAACTGCCCAGAAAGATCTTTATGACCCAAGTACAGACCACAGAGCATGAGAGACTGGTCTGCAAACCAAGGGCAGAGTTTATAGGAGTCACTACAGAAAGTCAGCAGGTTCCTACAGATAAGTGCATTTTGAACAGCACTCATTTTAAAGGACATATGAATGAAATTACTACCTGTTGGAATGTCTTACAACATCTTCCTAAAACAATGATTTGGTTTTACTGCAGTGAGTATTAAGGCCTCTGACACAAGAAAGCACTAAGCAGGTACAGTCTAATTTAAAAGATTTCTAGTTTGTAAGTGTAAGCCATGGTACCCTCCCAGTTGACAGGCAAGGGGAGAAAGCAGAGCTAACAGTTCTAATACCTTGTTATGGACTGACAGGTGCCTCACTGCCACCCATCCTGAAGATGAACAACCCAAGGCTCAGTTTGCGCAGCAGATTCCAACAGCACCTCCCAACATCATGTTCTTCTTCATTCCACAGAATCCCACTATTCCTAGGACTCTGCACACTACAACACTATGTCAGAGGAAAGACTGACTCTTCAACAGTGCTTACGGGTCTGTTAATGAAGTTCTCAGTGAGAAAAAAAATGACAGTAAGATATCTGTGCCACCAATCCATTAATTGAGATAGACAGGATATCTCTGGGTCAGCTACACTTTGAAGACATCACAGACTGAATATAGTTGAGTTAAAAAGGCTTTCTAAGTCCAGGAGCCAAGCCCTCTCTGAGTAGGGCACCCGGCCAACTTCTCAGACAAAATTGAAGAGGACATGGAGTCACATCATGAGAACTTGGGTGGGTGGGTGTCAGTCACAGAGAAGTGTCTCTAGCGTACCCCAAAGAATCAACCTAACAGCTTAGCCAACCATGTGTAGACAGCTTCAGAGGCTGTATCCAGGGTACGTTTTTCTGAATAATTTATTAAAACAAACATACAAAAAACGTAATACCGTTAAACAGCTACTTTGCAAACAACATTTAGTTCCTCAAGAGTTTCCTGACATAGAACAATGCTCTGTCCTCAAGCACGACTGGAACAAACGAGCTCTGCTTTGATAGTCTGTTATTTCTCCTCCTGACACTTTGTGTTCTTCGCTGACTGACACCTCTTAATAACGGTCTTCTCCTAGCTTTGTGTGTTGCCTGTAAATACCCAGTGATTCTCATCCATGAACATGACACTATGCGGCCTCCTAGCCATGCACATCTCTCCCAACCTCCACCTCCACACAACACTACTGAGCAGGACTCTGGTCTGTTCACTGAGCCACCAGCCTAAAGACAACTCGTATCCTGCCAGCACTTCCTATGACACAACCCGTCAAACACTGGCTTGCTCTACAGTCCCTCAACATTTACCCAACTTTGTCTTTAGTAAAGTCCAGTCTGCCACAGGTCCTGACACTCTACCTCTTCTACATCCTTCAGTTCTCTCCCTAGGGCCCTCAAGAGAGCCCAGGCTCATCTTCAAAAGCTCATGTTGGTGACAGTGGCAGACTCTTCCCTAAGGTGTACACAGCCTTCAGGTCTTGCATGTGCTTAGCATATACACATATTTGAGTGTTTCTCTTGTCCTTTATAAATTTTGCTACCTTTCTTCCTTTTTCTTTGTACTTTCCCTGCCTCTCTTAACTTTGCTTTTTTCTTTTTTATTGTGCATATACTTCTAAATAGTTTCAAGTCCTTGACAGAGGACAGAATAAATTATGGAACCCAGAAACCCCTTGCTCTCCTAATTTTTGTTTTTTCTTTTGTTTTTGTCCATTTTGTTTTGTTTTGAAATAAGGTGCCCTCAAACTCATGATCCTACTACCTCAGCCTCCCGAGTGCTATTACACTAGAGAGTATTATTCGAGAGTGCTATTACAGGTGAGAACCATAGTAAGCCAACTTTTTCAACTCTCTTTATAATCTCCATCATTTCACTCGGATATACACAGCAAATCCAGGATGTGCCAGAAAGTGGAAAAGCAAGGTGGGAAAAGTATGCAGCGTGTGCATTTTTAAGAACGAAAGCTGGAATTCCCTAAATCTACCTTACTTTGTAGATGTAACTTTGAAACTATTAAATCTAAATGTTAAAGGAGCAAATTTCTGAGAGCAAAATAAATAAACTTGACTGTAAATCAATATGGGAATACAGCCACATAAAAAGGAATTATGAGATTTGAAACACAGCAATTCAACTTAGTAGGATACAGCCCCCTCCCCCCCACCCACACACACAATTTCACAAAAACTTTAACATGTTCTCAGGTGTTCGCTTCAGCAGCACATATACTAAAATTGGAACCATACAGAGAAGATTAGCATGGCCCCTGCGCAAGGAAGGCATGCAAATTCGTGAAGTGTTCCGTATTAAAAAAAAAAGATGTTTTCTGTATCATATTGCTAACAGTTTTATTTTTTATTGACACTGTATTTATGTATTACAGAGAAAGGCAAATAATTACATTAACACTGTTAGGAAGCAAGAACGTTGTTGTAAAAGACACCCAGATTCTCTAATATCACAATGGTTTAAAGGAACAAGAAGTCCTTATAGAAGTGGCGATCTCCCATCCTGGGCAGGACATATGCAGGTGAGAGGATGTCCAGCCACGTAGGAAAGCCACCCAAGACCACTGGGATTACTCAAGATTTAGGAGTCAGCTGGAAGACGCCTGGGCTCCAGGTGCTGCAAGAATCACAAAAGAATCCAGTGGACTGTACACACTGGAGCGTTTTACACCTATGAGTTCATTAAAAAGTTAACAATCACAGTCACCTGTAGAGGATAGTGAAGTAAGCACTGTTGGCCTGTACACATCTCCATCTCTACCCATACCTATATCTACATCTGTAGCAACATCTGTGTCTGTATCCAATCAAGAAAACAGAAGAAAAAAATGGCAAATAGAGCCAAAGGAAATTCATAAGCCAAACTTGTGAGACAAATGTCTTAGGTTCTTAAAACAAATCAGCCAACAAAACAAAGAGTAAAATAAGAGAAAAGGAAGTTTTAGAATGAACGGCTTAAAACATAAATTAATCCCAACTCAAATAAGAGAATTATCAGAGATAATCCGAAAAATTTAAACAATAACTAAGTACTTGATGGTGTAAGGAATTACTGTCAATTCTTTTATGTGTGATAACGGCAATGGGGGTATAGCTCCTTTTTTTTTTAAATTCCTCACCCTTCAGGTAAACACACCAAAACATTTATACATGAAACAAGGAGAAGTTTATAACTGCAAACTTTGCTATTCCCAAAATAGCATTTAGGGAACAAAAAGGTGATATCTACTGGATTAGAAAAGAACCTTGAATTGTTACTTATCATAGCTCTGTGATAGGTACATGGGGATTCATTTCATATATACATATAAAATACATATTTGAAATTTTCCAGATTAAAACAAAAAGCTGTGCTGGTGGAATATACGTAACTGAGCCTATCTGTATGTGAACAGATGTCTTCTTTGTAAGATACACATTTGTGTACTGTCTCACACACTGCGTTAGGTAAGAAAGGCATCATGCACGGGTATCAGAAATAATTCAAGTTCCTTACGGCATTTGTAAATGGAGCAAAACAGTCCAGTCTGTACCTGAATCCGGCCTCCCATCTGAGCTCCGAAACTCCTGCATTCTCTTCTCCAGTTTCTGTTGCCTCCGTCGTTTCATAACCACCTCAGGATTAGAAATTGTTCGAGTAAAGCTGGTTTCAGGCATGTCTTTGTAAACCTCAGCAGCCAGTCGAGAATTCTCGCTGTAAGGAGAAAAAAACACCAATGATACTTTAAGCTTTTTTTCCTATTAGAAATACAAAATCGCACAATCGAAATAGCAGGTGTCATTTGGCTGTATCTATAACCCCTAATAAATCTGTTATATACTATTTGCCATGTGCAACTTACCATGAGATTAAAAAATATCCTTTCTCTTAATACAAACTACACTCAACTAAGCAGTAATCTGTAATTAAAACTTTATGGTGAGTTTATACGACTTTATTATTGTGTACTCAATAATAAAGCTAAAAAATGTAGATCATGCATTTCAGTAATTTCCACCAGTATTACCCTAAAACAGAGCCAATGAGTGACTTTGTACCACAAACATTCCAACACAAGAAATACCTAAGAATCTCATAAAAATTATGGTAAACCTCGAAGAACCTAAACTAACGAAATAGCATGATGTTTTATCACCTAGAAGATTCGCCAACATTCTCTTTCTTAAACTTTTAAGAGGAAATTGCTCAGAATTTTCTGTGACGGGATCAACTGTACAGAATAATAGCAAAACCCCAACATCAAGGTTTGATGTAAAACCTGATAACAACACTTGTGTAAATTTTAGTAAATATAAACATATAATTTAATCATAAATATAATTTAAGGTCAAACTTAAATCAATCTAGCTGAACAATTTAATTCACTTTAAGTAGCTCATTGTCTAAATCAAAAAAATGTATCATTAAATGAGCTAAATTGACAAAAGAACAAACACAAGCCATTAATTTTAAACTCTCATTTCCTTGATGCTTTCCATATATGGGCGACTTACACATGCAATTTTTTTCTCTTGTACAACCACATTCAATGCAGCCTACGCAATACCACACCTCAGCAACTGCACGGGCACCACTGCCTAGGTTAAGATCTAACCCAAATGGGCTCAGATTCCACTCTAAAGTTAACACTGCTTACATGTGGTCAATATCCTCAATAAAAGAGGGAAAACCACAAATCAATTTTACGATGGAGGGGGAGCCCTGAAGACCATGGCACTAGAAGAATGTAAATAGTGTCAACACCCAGGAAAGATGGTGCTTTATTAATACAAAGTAATCTAGATGATGAAGAATATTACACACTAGAGGTGATATGCTGTCCTGAACACCCTGGAGCTGCAAGAGTTTAAGGAAATGAGAGGTCTCTCAGGCTGGAGTGTTCTGCCAATGGGTTCAGAGGACATAAAAGCACTAGACCCACTGTCTAGCAGTACATCTTAGTTAGAAAGTACCATGTGGAAACTTCCAGTTAAAAAGACTGTGACTGTATTTGTTTAGAATCTCTATGTAAGCACAGGAAGTAAATACATTAGTACAGCAAATAAAAACAATTACATTACTGTTCTCTTTGGGTTCATGTGAAAACTGGATATTCTTTACCAGCTTTGTTGAATCTGTATGTTCTGACTTTCACCAACAGAGAAGTACTATACAGACTATGATGAAGGCAATGGCAAGCTGCCTTCTCTATGCCTTCGTAACTGTATGGTGACCACTGAGGAGCTAATAACTAAACTACTGACAACTGCAGGGACACAAAAGAAACTGGAAAGCTCATGTTAAGGTTTAAGGTTAGGTTACCTAATGTCTCTTTCCTAATGCAAGGAAAACTCAAGAAGTCCCTTTATTCCCTTGGCTTTCAGGTGAGAAGCTCAAATACCCTGGACAGGTAAAGAACATATACAATGGGGCTAGTGAGACAGAGTAAGGCAAGCGGGAAGTATGTGGTGCCTCTGAACTTGAGAAGCGAAGTCTGCTTTGTTCCCTGGCCCTGCCAAAGTCTAGCCAGGCAATGGGTGTAATGTGAGGTATATAAGCAACCCCTGCTGCCTCTAGGATCAACATCATACACCATACAAGTGAGATGAGAAGACCTGCTCAAGACAGGAGAGACCACCAGCCACAGCAGCCTATGTAAGGAAACTATAATGCTAACCAGGGTTTACCTAAGATTAGCAGGAAAGATAGCAGAGTCTTCCCATGTTCACAGCCAGATACTCACAGTAACAGGCCTCGCTAAGGTAAGACCCCTTACCCTCCCCTCAACATGGAAGGACCACAAACTTACTCAATAAACTTCTCAACTGATACCCATCCTTGCCATAATTTACCTGGCAATTTTAAAAGTCTGCTGCATTAAAAACATGTGGCTTGGAGTACAAAGCAATAAGAACTTTTTTAAAACTAACTTACTTGTCATCCCCTTGGGAGGGTCTATCCTCCTTATCAGATGCCTGTCTCAAAGCCTCTTTTTCTTTCTTCTTTTTCTCCTTCTTTTCTTTCTTCGAGAGAGTTCTCTTGAAGTTCTGGATAACGCCTTCTTTTTCCTGCTTTTCAGGTCCATTACTTTGAGCCTTCTGATAAAAGTAACATTATCACGATGCTGACCACTACCCATGCATCACACAAGGCTGCCTTTAGTTTGGCTGCCCTGTGGCTCACAAACCACAACCAAAATTAAAGGTATGGGAACAGGGAGGTGTCTGGGGTGGTGCGAAGGTTCTTCACCTTGACTGGACCTAGAGTGAATGTATGTATTTACCAAAACCAAGTAAGCTGTATACTCAAGTTCTACACATTTCATCATATTTAAAATATTGCCTCAATTCAAAACTAACAAGAAAACAAACGAACAGCAACAACAACAAAAAATCCCAAAGCCAGTAAAAAAACTGGGGTAGGAATTATGAAACTTGATTTTTGAGAAATAAAGCTCCAAATAAGTTACCATAAAGTAATGTCAGGAAAAGGAACCTAATGAAAGTATGAGGGCAAGGAGTCTGAACCAGCTACTTCAAAAGGAGGCGCTGAAGAATCGTCAGAACAAGGTAGCTTTTACGGATCAAAGTTCTCGCCTACTGTGGTTCTGCAAAAATGTCTAACTTCTCTTCCAGAACTTATTTGTTGCTTATTCTTAATTTATATTTCAACCTACAAACATGGCCTACTAACAGATGATAGTCACACTGTTTTTATATAGAAACCTAACGGGTAAGGGATTAAAATATATTAAAGAGACGTTATTACATTGGGAAGGAAACAGCCCTCTACTTTGTAAGGACGAAAAGACACTGACACTCCCACTCTTTCATTCACAGGCACTCATGGTATATGGCTGCTCCCAAGAAGAGTTTGTTGGTGCCAGTGAAGCTGTGGTCCTCAGCAAGTGCGTAGAATGGAACAGCACCAGCTGAAGTCATGGTGCAGAAATGAGTTAACACATGGACAGCAAGACAACAGAAAGTCACTCTTATCTGATGCATGTGTGCTGCACATACGGCAGTCACTAGTGCACAGTAGTGAGAAGGTCACGCACAAACACATCTGTACAGACATCCAGCTTCAATGTGCAACACTGATGTCTGACAAAATGAAAATGTTCTGCTACAGTATGTGGATAAGTCTTTGCACAATCTTTTTTTGAGGAAAAAATTAAATACAGTAAACTCTCAAAATGCTCTCAACCTTTGCATTTACTTACCACTTGTTACCACTGAATTCTTGCGTAATTTGCCACTTGATTTAACAGAGTTACAGTTACTTTCAGATTATACCAACACTTCATAACATTCAACACAAAACTCCCAGGAATTCCTGACATCCCACACCGAGAAAGTTTTAGAATCTTTCTGTTGCATCATCTAGAGACTCTAAGAAAACTGAGTGACTCCCAATCCTCATATATGATATGAGAAGCTTGCAGGTTTTCTTTTGGTGGGGGGAAGCGCTGGTGCTCAGCTTGGCTCAGCTTGAACTCAGGGCCTCTTGCTTGCTACCACTTGACCCATGCCTATAGCCCTTTTTGCTTTTTTAGTTTTCTTTTTTGGATAGGGTCTCATGTTTTTGCCTGGGGCCAGCCTGGATATGATTGACCTACCTATTGCCCACCACATAGCTGGGACTACAGGCACGTATGCCAAGTTTCTTTGTTCAGATGGGGTCTTACCAACTTTGCCAAACTTCAGTTCTCCCCTCTCTGCCTCCCAAATAGCCAGGATTATAGGCGTGAGCCACTGCACCCAGCTATGAAAAGGTTTTAAGAATACCTTTACGAAGTTGCATCTAAAAGGTCATATATAGATACGTTATGTGTTTCCTTTTCTCTTTTGATTATTGGAACAATTCTGATAATGCTTATAATTGATAGGAGCTGAAATTGATGACCTAACACCTGAGGTTATCAGGTAAAAGGATAAAAGAGGGAGAAACAAGCTACTTTTAAATTCTTTTCTAGGAATGGAAGCAAAAAGGACGAACAGCTACTGTGACAAAATATCAAGTGCCACCTCCAGTTCATTTCCACCAGACATGGCCGAGGGTCAGAGCTGAGTGAGGGCTCCCCACCTTAGCAGGAATGGCGTCGTTCTCGTTCTTCAGCACGAACCTCCCCTCCCGGTCATCCTTATTCCAGTTCAGCTGCACAACCAGAGGCTTCTCGTCCATGTCCAATCTTCTTTCTTCTTCAAAACATGAAATGGGAAAAGAGTGAGCCGTGGTTATCTCATAGCATTAGTGCAATAACCAGCCTTTGATATACACTTAGTTTTGGAGACATAAAGTACTTTAACCTCTCAATTATCTGCTGGCAGACTGGAATGCATTATCCATAATGTTAGATTGGCTTTAATTGGGCACTGTTGCTAGTGTGTGTTTTCTACCATGTACCCATGCCAGGCACTAACTATATAAAGTTCAGAACTTTACATCAGTTTTAATTATTTGGACATTTATTGCTAGCTCCATCTCTGAGACTATATACCCAGGAACCCTCCTCATCCTAGGGAGAGATCCACTCCCTGTGCTGTTACTTTTCACTTTTGTTCAAGTCACTATTACAAACTCAAGAGGATTTTCATTTGTTTGTCTTTTAGGGTCTCAGTATGTAGCCCAGACTGGCCTGTAACTCGCAATCCTACTGCCTCTGCTTCCAAAGTGCTAGAATTACAGGTAGGCACAATCATGCCCAGCTTTCAAACAGGCTTTGAGTGACCTGTCCAAATCCTTTCTCTAAAGTCAGTACCTTCTAGCATACATTTGGCAGAATGAGATTGTTCAGGAATGCCTACTTCAAAAGCACCTGTACAGAGGTGCCTCAAACCTGCATATCAATAACACAAGGCCCAGCATCCTCAGGCACAAGTAAAAAAGAAAACACGTGCTGATGTGAGGAACCAACCATGGACAAAAACCATTTCCCTATTCTACCACCTAGCTCCCTAGCATCCAGCCCTCCCAAACAGACAGCACACCATCAGCCACACCCATCGACACCGGAAGGTACTGCACACTGCGTGCCCTAGTTCAGAAACCCCAGGACCACCAAGAAAAATCAGACTCAGTAAATCTGAATTCCTTCCGTAACCCAAATTACAAAGTTGTCTTTCTCACAAAGTTTGTACTAGAATCAAAATCCTTCATGATGCCATAGTACAACTTTCAGGAAGCTAATAAAGAATAAATCATAAAAGTAAAACAAGACAAAGGGGGCTCTTCCTGAGCAGTATGACAACCACTGCACAAAACCCCAGGTTTTCTGGGCCTGCTGCAGTTCCAATAAGACTCTGCCTTAGTGGCTTCATAGGGGTTTTTTTGTTTTGTTTTTCTTTTTTCAGTAGCATAATCTTTTATGATTCCACTTGAATTCCTAAGAGGAATCCTATATATAAAAAGAATAAAAGTGGAGTTTCCCTCATGGTTGAAGCAAGGGTAGAGCCTACGTAATGGGCAGGCACACACCAAGGTACCCAGTGACCATGGGCCTCTGAAGAGCACTGAAATGTTCAAGGGGAACAGGTATACCTGCCAGACACATGGGAACCCCTGCCTGGATCCAAGTGGCGCTAGGTCACAGCAGATTGTGCAGCAACCCCTCTATCAGGACCACATGTCACTGTCATGAACATGAATCTAAAAAACCAATGCAGATTAGAAGAGAAGGCCCTGGGCCCAAGGAGCTGGGCCGGTCTGGGAGTTATAATCCCCCAACAAGAGCAATTATGGTCAAGAATGAAATGAAAAGCGTGGCTATCCTTTCATTTTATGTACTATTTTTTCAAATGTCTACCAAATTGTTAGCTCTTAAGTACTTACTAACTAATCCCCAGCAAAACAATAAAGTAATTAATTAACTAATTAATAATTAAAAAAACTAAGATGCCCAGGCTCGGTGAAGCCACCTCAAAGAACGTGAGCGACTATCTTGCTTGGTCCTCCCTGTGCCTGAGCCCCAGGTGGAGACATCACTGTCCTGTACAAAAGGGGCACAGGACAGACTCTACCTCCTTTTCTTTAACCAGCTTTATTCTGCCTACCCTTTACAAAGAATTGTTCCCTTTTAATTAAAAACAAATCTAGTGAACAAAGTTTAAAGGAAACAAGTTCTTTAAAAAAATAAAAATTACTTAATTTTTAGATATCATATTCCAACCTTACATTGTATTACTCCAAAGACTTTCCTTATTGGCATTCAACTACCTGAATGGCACAGAGAAAAAGCAATGAGGTGAGAGGTAAAAGAAAACACAATGTCAAGAAATACTCAAGATTGAGAATGGCCTATATAGTCAAAATTAGCTTGGGCATTATTTATGCAGAAAATATCCTCATAGCCTTAAAAAATAATAAACAAACATGGTCTGCTTTATATACCCCGAGAAAAAAGAGTTTGTAACACCTGAAAATTCCATATATTACAAACATTTTAGTTTCCAATGTACAAAGAAAGCTATATGGTTAAAGTCAAGAACATTTACTTAACATTTGCCTATAATCCTGGCTATTGGGAGGCTGCGATCAGGAGGACTGCAGTTCTGGGCCAGCCCAGGCAAAAAGTTAGCAAGACTCAATCTCGACCAAAAGCTGGACACAGTGGTTCATGACTGTCATTCCACAAGGATGGGAAGCCCAAAACAGGAGGACTGCGATCCAGGCTAGGCCAAAAGCAAGACCCTATCTCCAAAATAACCAGAGCAAAAAGGGCTGAAAGCATAGCTCTACTAAGAGAGTGCCTGCCTAGCAATTGCGAGGCCCGGAGTTCAACCCCTACTGCCATAAAAATAAAAAAAAGATTTGCGACATAAATTTTAGAGGCGTTCAAATTGGTGTGTTGTGCCATATGTAATCCTTTACTTTTGTACTAAATGTAATTTGTATTTTGCCCACAGCTTAGTCAACATTTCCAAAGCACCTACAAAAAATGAATAAATTTCTACATTTCTAATCAGTCTAACTTGAGTTATCATTTGATGTAACTATATAAGGTGCTTTTTGAACTTGCCAATGCTAAAACAATGAGAAATCACTAAACAGACTGGCCTTGAGATGCCCTACTTGCTCCTAAACAACAATAAAATAGAAATGTACTGTTTCAGAGTGCAGAAACATGACAGCAAGGTCAATGACTGCCATCTGCACAGTGTTCAACTAGGTCATAGTCATTCATCACACCTTCATCATCTGTTCCTAAGATGACAGCTCCAAAGGCAGGTAGTGCACCTTACCACTGATGGATGCAACCTGGGTCTATTGGGTAATCTTAATTATGTAATGTCCAGCTACTTATTCTGAAGACATAAGCATGTGCAAGACGAATATACCATTCTAACTTCCGATAACTGTAATGTGCAACAACTCGCAAGAACACTTCCCAGACGAGAGAAGTTCTGGCAGCCTGTCAACCATTTGTACATCAGGAGAGAATAAGAGGGTGATGAGCAGCAAACCTATGCCCTCATCAACAGCCCTGAACGGCCTGCGCGCCCCAAGTCAGGCCGCACCCGCCAGCCTGTGTGTGCACTAACCTCCGCTGACATGCACTTCGTAGAGGGAGTACTTGGGAGAGGACAGCATGCGCATGTCAGGCCGGAACTTCTCTGCCAGTGTCTCAATCACGTCTTGAGTGGTTGCAGTACTTGAGACCCGAATACACTTTGTTGCAAAGTTTCCAGCAGCTTTATCTTGAAAATAAAATCTCATCACTCCATGGAACTCCAGATCCTAAAAGAAAACAAAAATGATACACTTTATGGAAAAACACACTCTGAAGAGATTTACTTTTTTATAACAACAGTAAATGAAAAAGACTATTCTTCACTTTTTAAAAAAATGTTTCTTTGTGATAAACATCTGAAAAGCAGAAATTAAGAGATAGGTTTTTACTCTTCAAGCGTAATTATGTGATTTTGGACAAGTTGTTTACAATTTCTCTTTGCCTCACCTCTCACTCATAAAACAATGACTGTTAGGTACCTGATTTCACAACAGCTAACATTTACTGAGTTCTCAGCAAGTGCCAGGCACACTATGGCAGGCACTGTTTCTAATGTCTCTAACTGTGGAATTCGGTAGATACTATTACTAAATCCTTCTTTTCAAGACCCAGGGCTGGTGCTACAACTCAGCAGGAGAATGCTTGCCTTATGTGCCAAGGCCCTGGGTTCAACCTCCAGCCCCCCAGCCAGTGGGAGGGAATACATTCCTACTTCAATATCTGGTCACTGAAATCATGAAGTCATGAAGCCATACCTGCTCAAGCAGGTATACAGCAGACTCAGAATTAAATGACTGGCTTCCAAAGCCCAGGCCTGCACTGCCCAAAGCCCACCCGGCTCTGAGCTTCAGACTCCTTTTTTGAGAACAAGAGGGAAATGTTAGCTCCAACCCTACCACAAAAATGTAAATAAATGAAAACTCTTAACTTTTTATAGAATGCAACTTGACTAATTTTCAATATGAACTGTTCACCCTCAATGAGTGCAGTTAAGTCATGTCTCAAAATCTTACTTCTAGAGAAAAGCAAAGGTGAATTCCAGCCCAAGGTGATTGCTCCACATGGCTCAATGCATAAGGAAGGCTGAAGCTCATGCAACCATGGCAGGCCCCATGGCATCATTTCACTGAGCACAGGAAGAAGCCCTACTCCCAACAAGATTCCAAAGAGCGACTCAAGGTGGTCTCCTCATCTACTTCTCAAAACTCATCCACAGTTAGACTAAGACCTTGCTAAAACTAAGCCAAACTGCATCTCTCCCTGGCTTTAAGGTTTATGGTAGGTTTCCCTTCTCTTACAAGTCAAATTCTCACTCAGTACCCAAAGCCTGTCACATTTAAGCCTTTCTCTACTTTTCCCCAACCCATCAATCTTTTATTCACAGATTTTTATAATCTAAGAAGTATTTGTTTGAAGAAAAATAGTAGACATTAGAATGGAGTAAATAATTATATAGACCACATGAAATTAAAACAAAAAGTGAGACTGTGAGGCACATCTGTAGCCCAGAGCCTTATTGGGCTCATTGAGCGTTGACCTGATGTCAAGAATAAAACAGGCCATATGTGCCTGAGAACAGCAAAGGATAAGAGCACCAATTTCTCTGAGAGTTGCCAGCAATTAACCCCAAAGCACCAGATATTAATGAATGAAAGAGAGGAGAGGAAAGAGAAGAAGGAAGGGAAGGGCAGGGACCCAGACATTTATCACCTGTGGCTGGTAAGAGTGGGAGGGAATGCCCTCTAACATTTAAAAAGAATCATATACAAGATAAAGACAATCCACTTATCCATCCTCAAGGTAATCCATTCATATAGGTTACCACCCTTATAGCAAAAAAGAAACTACAAATATCAATCTCTCTTATGTGGTTCAGCTGGTAAGCTTACATAAAATGCTATAAAGGAAGTCCAACGGTACAGGTGTTGCCTCACTACAGCATTCCCACCTAAAAGCAGTGCTGAAATTCCTATTGATGTTTGCAATGTAACAAATATTCTCCAGGTCCTAATCCTATAGGATTAAACAAAATCCTATAAAAACTATCTTTGATTTGATTTCATTTAGCACTACATAAGTGTTAGCAATTTAGTTTCACATCATACAAGGAATAACTAAATAAATCTATAACAAGAATATTCACTCAAAAAATTAACATTAATATTCTGCTCAATTATGTAGCCAATCATACATTTGGCTGGTGAGAATAAGTCCACAGAATGTAATCAAACCTGAGAAGACTGATAAAATCATGTCTCAGAACCTGAAAATTGGGTTTGTAGTGACCAAACAAACAAGCAATATTAACAGAGAGTAAAGGTTTACTACATGTCAGTAGTTTTGCATTTAATTCCTCAAACTAAGAGCTATGTACTATCATCATCACCACTAAGTGGGGAAAAAAGAAAGGCGGGCCCAGAGGGTTAGGTACACTGGCCCACGTCTTGCTGGAACAGGGCTAAGCCCCAGCCAGCATAAGCTACCAGGACCTGAACTCAGACATCCAGTACTGCTACCTCTGCTTCCACAGACAGGCACTAAATGGGGTGCCACACTAAGTGGTCTTCTTTGACCTTACAAGAGGTACAAACAGGTATTTGAGAAGAAATGTATTATGAATGGGAGAAAGAAATCTTCGGTCCAGAGGTTAGAAACCTGCAACCATCACCTACCTAGACAGAAGTGGCATTCAAATACTGGGATGCATACTAAGTGGAACCCCAGGCTAGGCTCACCCTCCATTCCTTATCTACTGCTGGCCCACAATGCCTGTCCACCTGGAGGTTGGCTGAACAAAAGAAACCCAAATGATAAATATCAACCTATCACCTGCATCTTTGACTAGTTATTTAACAACCATGTGAACTGGAATATCCTTGGTTATTAAAAAAACAAACATGGCTGGGTGTGGTGGCACACACCTGAAATCCCAGCTTCAGGAAGCTGAGACAGGAGGATCACAAGTTTGAGGCCAGTCTAGGCTATATAGTGAGTTAGAGGCCAGCCTAAGCTATTCAGTGAAACACTGTCTCAATCCATCAATCAATCAATACGTAAATAAGATGTTTAGATGATTAAATACAAGATATGCAGCAACTAGCATGCTACCCAGCACAGTTCAATGCTCAGCAGTCACAAGTTTTCTTTCTTTATAGTCGCACACAGTACAACAGAGCTTTTCTAAGGCAAGGAAATTCCTTTTTTTCTCTATTCTAGATCGTCCCTTGATATCCAATACAACGCTTTGCAGACAGCTATTAAAACTAATTTTAGTCAAAAAATCAACAAATGCCAGTGACTTGTCTGTCTCTCTCATTCCTGTATTTAGTAAGCCAAGTTGGTCCCTATTAATGGTACCAATCACAGCCTTCAAAGCTAAGAACTCTTTAGTCTTACCATAATTATACTGAACATTTCTATAAAATAGTCTTAAGCTCAGCTTTTTACAATTAGGATAACCAAGTTATGCACTGCTCTCAAAATGTTTACTGTATGATAAATAAACAGCTTCTTGGAAATTCACACTTTACAATACATAAAAGTATATAAATATATGCCATCAAGTGAAAATAAATGCATACACAACTGTATAAAATAGACACAAAAGCTCATACATTCTTTGTATCCAAATTTGCCTCATATTTTACTGACTAAATGTCACATGCAAGACATTAAGACTCCTTTTTCACAAATCAGCTATGTGTTTTTCTGTTAGCACTAGTCGGGGTTCAGCCTCAGTAACTCTTCTGTGAAAATGGGACAGCACACCCATCCTAGTCACTGTGAAGATTGAATGACGCAGGATGCACAGCAAACAGGAAATCCTCCATTAGGATTCACTTCTCTGTTCAAAGATGGCCTCTCTACAACAGCAATGGGGTGGATTACTCAATTTCTAAAGTATAGGTAAATCAAGTAATAAGTAATCACCAACTTCATATCACCTAAGAGGATGTGCACATGAATAATGAAAGACTATTTAACTTTCCTAGTTCGAAGCCTTTCAGTTACACTTCTACTATGACTTATTACTTCTCAGAAAAGGAGACAGCTGGGTGCCAGTGGCTCACACCTACAATCCTAGCTACCCAGGAAGAAAAGATCAGGGGATTGCGGTTTAAAGCCAGCCAAGGCAATAGTTTGTGAGACCCTAACTTGAAAAAACCCTTCACAAAAAGGGTCAGTGGAGTGGCTCAAAGTGTAGGCCCTGAGTTCAAACCCCAGTACCACAAAAAAAAAAAAAAAAAGTAAAGAAACACCCCAAGCAAACAGGCTTGTAAGATTCCACAAATGCTTAAAAGCCAAGAAGGCCTCAGATAGGGATTTAAATAAAATAATCTTAATAGTATTATTTGGTGTAGTTTGACAACTGAATCTGGAATTCCAAATGCTATTACAGCTCTGAAAGAAACTGATCATAGCTGTAAAACCATAACCTACTCTCCTAGAGTCTGGAAGACAGCATAACTAGGTTTTAAGTGACCAGACTTATAACCTAGTTCTGTGACATCATATATTTTGTTACACTATTTTAAAAAATAAAACCTTTCCCAGTATCAATTATTTAGTGTTCCTGGAAGGAGACAACCTGGCTCACTTCAACAGGAAATCTGTCCAGTTAACTAGATCACTGATGGTCTACAGATTGAGAACATGAAAAACAATGTATCATACTTGTTCATTTTCATGAACTTATAATTTGTGACTTCCATGTCACTTTAAATGCTTAAATAGGAATAGCTACCTTGAGCAAACTGCATCAACTGTCCTCAATGTCAACATGAAATCAGTTATCAAGGGCACAGAAGCACAGAGGAGATCAAATTACACTGAACATCATTAAAAAGCTTTTTTCAGAATAAGATTCTCTTACGATATTCACAAAATCTTTGCTTTGATTTAATTTGTAAATTTAAGAAAATATTAAAATAATAAACTGTGCAAGTTTTTTTTCCTGGAATTTAAAGGGCTTTATTTACTATGGGGAAAATAAATGGGCAAGAAATTGAGGGCAATCCAGGAAAAGAAGTGCTATAAATATAGAGGCCAGATGTTGAAAAAAACTTATAATATTGTAATTTTACAAAAACCCCTAGGTTTACATATAAGAAAGATTCTAGAAACAGACCTTTAGGAGGTGCCTCACACCAACTGTCAAAGAGTCTTCTTCACCAGTGATGCTGAGACACAAACTAGCACAGGTGACACTGAGACAAAAAAAAAGAAG